CAGGTTCACCTTTCTGGCAGTATTTCCGTGGCACTTACCATGCACCACGTACCAGTAAGCACTCCCCAAATGTTAAGTCACTTGATTCTCACAACAGCCCTAGAAGGTGGGTCATTTTACTATCGCCCATTTTACAGATGAGGTAAGTGAGGCAGAGAGAGGTTAATGAATGTGCCCAAGGTGAAAGAGCCAGTAAGTGACAGAGCCCTTATAGTCCAGATTTAAAGCTGTGCACGGTGATTACACCATGGACACGCTATTGATCCTGAGAATATAAATGTAACAAAGTGTTCATCTATACAATTTAATTTCTAGCCAGGTTCTTAAAAGAAAAAATCATCGAAGTCCTATATGCTCATAGTCTCAGATCTACAGCACAGTTAGGATGAAAGGCAATGTCTCCCAGCTCCACTGCCCTCCCTATTTCTTTCAACCACCTGCTGCTCCAGGTGGAGTGAAGAACATCTTCTGGAGACAGATGGAAAGAAAGGCTGGACTCAGCAATAATCTGAAATTCATTCTTTGCCTAAGTTGCGGGGAAAAGGCCGAATGACGAGGTGTTTTTCTGAGACCAATTTCAAATTACATGGGCAATGTGGAAACTGCCCCCAGGGCCCAGGCACGCCCACACAGGGCTCTGGTGCTATGGGGGCCTGCGTGGCTTTTCGAGGTCTCTGGAGGACTCAGAGGCCACTGTGGACCCTCTCCCTGCACAATGTACCCACACCCCATGAAGTGGAAAAGGCCCGGGAGTCTTAGGTTACACAAACCTGGGGCCCAGCACTCTCTGAGCCTCAGTTTCCCCCTCTGTAAACGGAGGTAATAGCAGCACTCACATTCTAGGGTGGCCCTGAGGTCTAACTGAGGTAATGCATTTCTTTGCAGAGATACAAAAGCCTGGCACGCAGGAACCCATTAGATGTGTCAGCAAGGTTTCACTTCTGTGGCCTATTGAAGCAAAAGTGCCCTGTCCTTCTGTCAGATATGCCTATCTGCCCCCACCCCCACACTCTCAGCCTGAGTGGAATTCGCCCCAGCGAGGGCCACAAAAGGAAGGTCAGCTCCCACCTGACAGAGATCGCCAGGATCAGGCTTTCTCAACGTCCCCAGGTCCCCCTTGGTGCGGATAGGTGACGCTTAATTCCACAGCTTCTGGGCCAAAACCATGTCTTGGGAGAGGGGTTGGTTAGCAGTGAAAATCCTCTCCAGAAAGTTAGCGAATCAACAGAAAGCTACGCTTGCATACCTCACAGTGAGCCAAGGCGCCCCTTCTGTCCCCACAGATGCGTACTGCATTCCCTACACGCTGCACTTCAGAGCCGTTGGCTTGGATGGTACAGGCTGTTGCCAGCACATGCCCACCGTCTGGGTCCTTCTCCTTGGAACTTCCCGGGAGGGGCCCCAACAGAAGGGTCTATCACTGAAACTGAGCTCAAATTACTTGGGCTCAGAGGAAAGAACCATAGACTCTGCTGGCTGGAAGGAACCCTAAAGGTTCATCTATGGCAAGCTCCAGTCTCTAAATTCAGTTCACTCCAGAAATAACAGCCTTCACCCACTCCTGAGTGTGGGAAGAGATCTAGAACCGCATTTCTGAAACCCTGAGGTACATACGAACCACCCGGGGATCTTGTAATACAGATTCTGATTCGGTAGGTAATCCAGAAACACATTCTGAAGGTAATGACTCATTTAACCTGTGACTGAAATAATCCTCAGGTTCACCTTTCTGGCAGTATTTCCGTGGCACTTACCATGCACCATGTACCAGTAAGCACTCCCCAAATGTTAAGTCACTTGATTCTCACAACAGCCCTAGAAGGTGGGTCTTTTTACTGTCGCCCATTTTACAGATGAGGTAAGTGAGGCAGAGGGAGGTTAATGAATGTGCCCAATTCACAGAAATGTGAATTTCTGAAATGTGTCCATTTCTGACAAGCTCAAGGCGATTCATGAATGCTGGGAGCTCCAAAGACGCACCTGGAGCAGGAATGATCTAGAAGGCTTGCTGCCCTCAGAAGCTCCTGCTTTCACAGGAGAAATGCAGTATGGGGGCAGACTGGGCTCTCCAAGATACAAGCTATTTATTTTTTCCAACCACAGTTCTAACCGCAGCGCCTTTATTTTTTTCTAAGATTTTATTTATTTATTTATTTGAGAGCAAGAGAGAGAGAGAGTGAACGGGGAGGCGGGGGGGAGAACTGAGGGAGAAGGAGAAGCAGACTCCCCATGGAGCAGGGAGCCCTAGGCGGGGCTCGATCCCAGGACCCTAAGATCATGACCTGAGCCAAAGGCAGGTGCTTAACCAACTGAGCCACCCAGGCGTCCCACCACTGTGCCTTTACCACCACAGAAAATTAATTGTTGGGTGGAGGAGCAGATGGGTGCTGATACGAACACAAGTGTACGATCAAAACAACTGGCAGTTAATCCACTGTCCTAAAAATGACCGAAGTAAAAATGTCCTAGGGGGAAAATGAAGGCAGAGGGAAGAAGAGGAAAGAAGGAAATTAAGGGGAGGGCAATAAATGATGAAAAAGGATCTCTGAAGCCCCCAAGAGTCTTCTCTCTACCTCCACTAGGACACCTGTGGAACTCGATATGCTTGTGTGCTCGGCCCGTGTCTCTCGTCTCTGAATCCCTGGCACCTAGCATAAGAGCCGGCTCTCGCAGGAGCTCCCCAAATACGTATTTTGTGGAACAAATAAGGATAACTGCTCCATTCACGAAGCTTTTGTGTTTTCTGTGTGTGTGTGTTTTTTAGGTGCCAGATGGAGATTATCTCATTTAAACCTCATAACAACTCTGTGAGGTCAGCACTATCACCATCTGCACTTCCCAGAGGAGGAACAACAAAGCTCAGGAGGATTGACTAAAACGGCCAGGCACCCAGTCAGTGGTTGGGATGAGGACGCAGGACGCCAGGCTCCCGGAGCCTGTGCTCTTGATCGAGGGAGAGCCAGGTTTCGTGAGGCCTGATGCTTTTTGAGAAAAAGCGTACCAAAAAACTGCTGCACGATTTCCAGTAACATATGTCTGTGTGGACAAATCGCTGGGACCCTTCCTGGCCTTGGACAGGCTATGCAAGGGAGATGGCAGCCGGGGGCAGTGGGGGGACGTCTACAGCTCAGGCTGCGTTAGCTTCATGGCAAAACTGCCTCTGACCTTGACCCGTATGCTGGAAATGAAAGGAAGAGAAAGAGAAAGAGATCAAAGGAAAGCAAAAGGAAGGGGGGAGGGGAACCAGGATGGGACTCTAAAGAGATGGGTGGAAGAGAGCGAGAGTGGTCAGAGGGGGGACAGGAGGAGGTGGAGTGGGGAGCTAAGGCTGCCCCTGGATGAATGGGGGGCCCAGCAGTAGTTTGCACCTGGCCCCTGGGAGGTGTGGGTCCTCCGTGCCCCCACCTGTAGATTCTGCAGCCTCGGCCACAGGCCCCGCAGCAAGCCCTGCCTCTCCCCGGGCTCCCAGACCCACCTAGGAGCGGGGTCCGGAGCGGAGCCAGAAGGGTCGAGGAATCACCCCTCCAACACGGTACTCCCAGCAGCGCTCTTGTGGACACAGCTACCTCTCTTTCCTGGTTCATCACCTGAGCGCCCAGCGAGGAAATTCAAACCTGGGGCACAGAGAGGAACCAAGGCTAGGGAAAGGCTGGTGCAGGGTGGCCCACTGGCCTCTCACTGTCTGACTGGGAGAGTCCTCCTTAAAAGGGAGGCACCTGCCCAGGTCTTTGCAGCCTGTCCCCCGAACTCACCTGCTCTGTCCCAGACTTCCAGTTCTAAAGCCCACTGCCATGTTGGCTCAAGAGAGCCTCCAGACCCGCCTCGGGTCTCTGCTGCTCAGAGACGAGTCCAAGGCCACACCATACTGAGTAGCTGAGACGGGGCCAGCCATCAGTTAAATCTGTACCCCTTCTGCTCAGACGCCACCACAGTCTTCTACAGGCCATGTTCCCCCACACCACAGACCTGGGGCTTCAGACACCTGCACAGCATTCAGCCCATGCACATGGAGAACCAGATTCAAGTCCCAACTCTGCCAAAAAGTCGGTATTAAAGATTTAGGGGCCAGTCACTTCATGTCCACGAGCTCTGATTTCCTCGACTGTCCAATGGGAACAAAGTGTTTCCTCACACGGTTGCGCGGGAATTAAAGAGATGGTGGGCACAAAGGGGCCACAGTGTGGACACTGTGCATGAGCCCCTCACAAAGTTATGTCACAAAGTTGTTATGAGGTTTCAATGAGATAATCTCCATCTGGCACGCGTCTACCCCAGGCTGGTCTCCGGGAGGGTTTCAAAGCCAAGGAACTGAAGACCTGGATTTGTTCAGAATCTGACACGAATGTACTGCGTGATCTTGGATACGTGGCTTTGCCTCTCTGGAATTTCGTTTCCTTGCCCACAACATGAAGGAATGGGAGAAGACAGCTACACGGGTTCCTTCCAGCTCTCTGGTTCTGTGGTTCAAGAGGTCACCTTGTCCATCCCCTGACCAGGGGGCAACTCAGGCCAAGATATTCAAATCTGTAAGCACCAAGAAGGACAGGCAAGAAACACTCGGAAGGGATGCTGGCAGGTGCACTGTGCATGAGCCCCTCACAGGCCAGCTCTACATCTGAGGGCCAGGGAAGGGCGCGTAGCTAAACGGCTCCGTGAGCTTTCCAATCCTGTTGCTCCCCACATAGCAACAAACAGGTTCTACGGAGCACCTTCCCACAACCCCAGTCAGAAGCACCCACACACTGCGAAGTCCCGCAGCGAGGAGAGAAAGAGAGAGCCTCCTGATATCTCTGGCTGGGTGGAAGTCCTTCAGGTGGCAAGGCTGCTTTTGCAACACCTTAGGCGTGTCCCCTGTTCTGAGGCCAAAGGGCCATGAATGACTCCAGGTGTGTGCCAGCCCCTAGGACAGGTGTCAGATTACAAGACACATAATCATTCCAGTTTAGCAACTTCATCCATGATGTTGTTTTAATCAACTGGCCCCACAGTCCCCAAATCACTCCTGGAATACAGCGGTGGAGGCGACCAGGGCGCTAAGGGGAGAGGGATGCCAGACATGCGGGACCAAGGCCTGCCCTGCACTTAGGTCTCTGCCGGCCCGTGTTGCCCAGGGGCCTCTGACCTGCTGGCCAGCCACGGCCCGATCCAAGGAGGCCCACCTTCTGACAGGCCGCCGACCTCAGCTCCAGCCCGTAGAGAAATCCGGAAGATCGCAGAGCCAGCATGGTGAGTGTGGGGGCCTTCTGGCTCTGAATTCTGGGGGAGGGCAGGTCTCCCCATAAAGGGCCCTGCCAGTAGCCTGAGAATTTTGTAACACCTTCCCAGTTAAAAAAGAGGTCACACCGCATCACCCCCACATTCCGGCTCTTACAAGCCTCAGTACTCCCCTGCCCTCCTCTACCCCCCTTGGCCAACAGCCCCTGCACCAGTGCCAAGGAAGCTGGGACACAGAGGCCAGGCCTCCCCTCTCTGACTATCCCCCTCCTAAATCCTGCCTGTTCTTTCGTCCAGTCTCCTGGTCTGCTGGCTGGAGACTGGCACTGTTTTGCCAAGGGCGAGGGGCTGTTACGACGGCCCTCTGCCACCTCCCTGGGAAACTGACTCCTTTCCTTCTTAAAGCAAACAATGGACAGCTGCCTCAAAACAATCCAAGGTGTCTGTGGAGACCGGCTGGTCTCTTTCTGGGCCCTGCCCTCTCTCCTCCTCCTCTGAACACCTAGAGCTTCTTTCGCTGTCTCGGGACAAAGAGACTCAATCCCATCTTTCGAGGACAACTGAGGCCAGGGAGGGGAAGAAATAATAGCTGGGTCTGAGGTGGAACTCGGGGAATCCTCCTTCTCTGATTCCTGGTGAAGGTGCTGCAGCTGCCGGAAACCCAACACAACAATGAAGGGGAGGGAAGGGGAAGGAAGGGGAAGCTTCCATCCAAGGGGAACAGAGGTGACGGGCTGAGGCCCCACATGTGGCGGTCTCCTGACTCCCAGCCCGAGCTCTTCCCATGACGCTCCTCTGAAAAGTCTGGCAAAACTCTAGCCCCAGTGCTGGTGCAGCTGAGGGTCAGGAAGGGGAAGGGCTTGCCTGCTCTACTCTGTAATTCAGCCAGGACCGAAGCGCCAGCTTCCCCCAGCCACATCCAAGGAAGCACCTAGAAGCCGAGCCTGTGTGCAGAGAAGCTCCATCCTGCTGGGCTCTCGAGAGAGAAGAGAAAGCAGTGCCTGCCTGCCTGCCCCACTGTGAGCTGCTTGGTGGTGGCACTGAGGAGGCCTGGGTGTCTCCTGAGGGGGTGATGTAGGACGAGGTAGTTTCTAAGGCAGTTAACTGGAGCACAAACTACAGAATCAGAAGGTCAAATGGCCGGCTCCCTCAGGAGCATATTATTCTCGAGACTTTGCACCCCTGTGCACGCACACGGTTGGCAGAAAGAATGGGCTAAGAACGTGAATAGCTGTGTGAACCGTGAAGCCCCATACAGAATTAAGGACGTGGGACTCAAGAGGAATCCAGTCCAGGAAATGACATGTGGGTGGCAAGGCCAACACGGAGCTTCACCAGCCAGGGAAGGAGGCAGGGCAGGTGGGCACACTGTGCTGGGGGGCCAGGGCTGAGGCCCCAAAGGCAAGGCAGCAGCGTGGCCAGGATCCCGGGTAGGACCAGGGAGCTTCTGGCCCCTGAGCTAGCCATTAAACCAGCTGTGCCTAATAACCCAGTCATTCCCTCTAATGAGGCTGGGACAACCACAGCTCCCAGCCCTGGGGAGCAGTGAAACAACTCATGCCCAGGCCCGGCCCTCCCTTCCCCTGCCCCTCCCTGCCTCCTCTCACCCCTGCCGGCCCCCGCCCTGGACAGACTCCAGTTCTGCGTGGTTGCTACCTCATAGCAGTGCTTCTCCCCTGAGAACTGGGCAGGACTGGGTGGGCCCAGTGAGAGCAGGAGCTGAGGAAGGCCCTGGGCAGAGGTCTGAGCCCGAGCTCTGTCCCCAAGGGCAACGTGTCCCTTGTTATCTCGGCTGCAGCTGAGCCCTGGAGCGAAGCCTGGTCTTGACTCCTTACTGCGCACGAGGCCCCAAACATACCAGGAGCCACCAGAGCAGCGTGTTAAACACCTGAGGTCGGTCCTGGCCCAGCTGCTCCAGAGGAAGCAGGCCCTCCTTACCCTCCCCGCCTCTCCTTGCCAACTGGTTCAGCCCACAGGGTTTGCTAGGCTTGGCTGGGGCTCAGGAACGTGGCAGGTCACCAGGCCCACCTGGGTCTGGGAGCACAGACAGGCCCACCTCAGACAGGCTGAGTCGGCAGCCCACTGGGCTCTGGAAAGACCCAGAGGGCAAGATGGGCAAGGAAGGGCTAGGCCCCTGCCTGCTCCCACAGTCCCCTCACTACCTGGGTGAGGGGCTTGATGCTGTGACCTGCAAAGTAGCTCCGTCCACCTAACCACTGAATCAGCCCCTGTAACTGGCCAGCCTCCAGATGGCAGAAAGCGGGGCTAAAGGGTGCAATGCCTACATCTGCCCTGCAGCTTCCCAAAATCCAGAGGAAGGACAGCTCCTTAAGCAAAGGACAGTGAGAGAATGTGGCAAGTCCAATACCAGGGTGACTGCAAGGTACCCCTAGAGCAGAGAAGGCAGGGAATTCTCTCGAGGGTGGTCAGGAAGCTGTCTCAGAAGAGTATTTGCACTGGACCTTGAAGGATGAGCAGGCTCTCCCTGGACAGAGACGGCGGGAAGGGTATTCCAGGCAGAGGGACCGGCATGTGAACAGTAAGAGTGACATTTTGCTGGGGGGAGGTGCTGTGGCTGGAGCGACAGGCACAGGTGGCAGAGCAGAACACAGCTGAGGGCCGGATCCCCCAGGGCGGTCATCCAGCCCCTGACATGGAGCTTGGGTTCAGGGTCCCCGCTGAGCCACAGAGCTCAGTGGGGCCGGGAGAGGGAAGGTGCCCCAGCGGCTGCCGGGGAGGCTCACACTCCTGGCCAAGCCACGTCCGAAAGGGCAGCAGGCATCCAGCTGCATTCGTTCATTCCACAAAATGGGCGGCGGGCCTCCTCTGTGCTGGCTCTAGCCTTGCTGGGAAGGGAAAGCAGACTGGGTCCTGCCATCCCAGAGCTCAGAGTGCAGAGGGGGTGGAGCGCGGGAAGGGACAGTCACACAAACTCACAGTTAGCTAACAACAGACACACGTGGTGTGCTGACGCGCCGGGAACTGAGAGAGCTCAGGCAGGGACATGGGTCAGGGGTCAGGGGAGCCTGGGCCGCACAGGAGTGCGGAGGGTGGGGAGAAGGGGCCATTCAGGCAGAGCCAACAGCAGGTACAAATGTGGAAACACATCTCCCAGCCCCTTCCATCTCCCAGGGCTCTTCCCCTGCAGCCTTTGGGTAGAGTTCTGTCCTGGCTCCTGACAGGGGGAAGTGTCTAGAACTCAGGTCTCCTCTGCGCCCCTGGCCTCTCTCCCTCCAGCCTTCCTTGTGCGCAGCTGCGAAGGCCAGCAGTCACGGGCAACAACCACCCTGCACTCCCTAGCCTGGTTCTCTGACACAGCCTAAGAGGATCTGAGGAGCTGATCTCAAGGGGGGTGGGAGGGGAAGGGCTGTAGGAAGAGGGAAGATGGGGAAAGAGACGAAAAATAGGACTCAGGAACTCTGAGTTTCCAACCTGGGGAGGCAGGAGACAGACGCTCTCAGGCCTGAGAATCTGCGTTTCAGAGTTCCCAGCAGCTTCCACAGTCTTCCCTCTTGCTCGGATGAAAACATCTACTCAGTAAAGCCCCTCAAATTCCCATGCAGTGATTCCCCAGGACAGTGAACCCCCCATAACCTAAAATGCGTTCATCTGTTCAAACCTGTTGCCACCAGATGGCGAGCTCCTTGAGGGCCGGGTCTTTTCCACCTGTTGGCCCCAAACCTAACACAGGGTCTGGCACACAGCAAGCAGAGGGTAAATGTTTGTGAGTGAATGACAACTAAATGACGAAAGACCGAATTCCCATAACCAGCCGATTTACCGGACACTGATAAAAAAGTTAGCTAAGTCTGACTGCAAAAGATGCCAGATTCTAGCAGAGGTGTTACCAAGGTGGGGTGAGGGAGGGACACACCCCAGCCTGCCTGGAAACCCCAGGGAGTGGAGAGAAAGTCTGAGCAGAACCGATGTGGCAATCCCCCTGTGACGTGCTTCCCTCCACCTCCCAGCCTGCAGCTCTATCACAACTGCAGCAGAGAAATTTGTAAACAAGGCTCAAAACCACAACACCCTTCCCCTACCACTCCCTCCCAAAGCAGCTCCCAGTTCCCTGGCATAATCGACATGCAAGCAGAAACTCTCACAGGGTAGCGGGCGAATGGAATGCTTGAGGGAGAGCGTGAGAGACAGGAGGCACCTGGTCCAGTGTGACGGCAGTCTCCCATCACATGTCCTGCACATGGGTCTGGCCGAGCCCACCATAGCTTCAGGCATTTCCTGTGGTCTCAATTTCTTCTCTATAATATGCATTCACTCATTCGTTCAGCATGTGTTCCCTAAGCATAAACTACATGCCGGGCATTGGCAAGACGCCTTAAGATTCAGAGAAGAACACGCACAATCAAAGTTCTCAGTTCCGTATACTCCACAGACAGAACAGAGGCAGGGTAAAGTGCTTCCCCCACCCTGGCCAGAGCAGGCCACTTGTTCACCCACGGATGTCGACACAAAGAGGGTAATGCAGCTGAGGTCACCCCTCCTCACCTCCGTCCCATTCCCACCCTGACACTGGGGCCTTCGTTCATTATCACATCTCTGATCGCCAGGGAGGAGGGCACGGCCAGGCTGTCGGGAGCACCTCTCTTGGTGGGCAGGACTCCCCGGTGGTCTAAAGAGAAGAACAACAGAAACATCTCATCCCTACCTGAATGCAGCAAGTGCAGCATTTTGCAGCTTGAGAAGCACAAATCTCCTTGAATCTTACATCAACTCTCGGAGACATCGTGCTCTCATTCTACAGATGAGGAAATCCCAAGGCTCAAGAGGTTGAGGACCTGAAAGGGTCACTCTGCCAATAAGAGTCACGGCAGGATCTCTAAGCTCTGGGACTTCAATATCAAGTGCCCAGAGTTTCCATTATGCCCTCCTCCTCCTCCAAGATGTGACCCCATAGACCTGGACTGGAGACTAGACCTTGAACTTGAACTTGCACTATTAACTGCAGAACCACCTCCCTACCTAGAAGTTGGTCTACTTTATAATATAAAGTGTGT